TTGCTGCTGACTATCAGTAAGTCTTTATTACGCATTTATATGGAAACTGCAAAAGAGTAATTTTATTTGGTGTGTGTTTATTGCAAGTTAAATGCAATAAAAAATATTTCATTCTTTAATAACCTTTATGTGTGCAATCCAGGCCAGAAGCACAAAATTCGCAGCATGTGCACTTACAAAGAAACAACAACAACAAAAAACAAGCCCAAAGCTTTAAGCAGTCAAAATATATTTGGTGACAGATATGTTAAAAGTAGTGCTGTGAAAATTAACGTGTTAACGCAAATTAAGCCGTCATCACGATTAACGCGGTTAAAAAAATTGACCCATCTGGGGAGCAGAGTGACTCAAAATCCCTGAAATGTTTCTGTCAGCGCATTTCGGGCAGTTTGTCCAAGCAGAGTTACCTTCGCACAAACGGGCAGTTGATCTGGTAGTGACTGAACCAGCATAATATAATGACAGTGACAGTATGGTGAACCTATTCCACACCGTCACTGTCATTATATTAATGCTGCTATCCTGTATATATTGTACATACTATTGTTTGAGTACTTACAATTGGGGTTTTTTTTGGGTTTTTTTGTTCTTTTTATATTTTACATTTATATTTATTATTGAAACTTGCACCAAGGGAGCGGCACTCCAATTTCGTTGTAATCTGTACAGTGACAATAAAGGCTATTCTATTCTAACCAATCAACTCAATATGGAAGATGATAAACGCACATCGGCCTCTCGATGGGAAATTTGAGTATTAAAAACCAAGAAGACGGAACAGTCGACCGACATAAAGTCTCATGGACGTTGTGCAAAAAGGAATTTTCACCGAAGCGCTTCCAGCTTAAAATATCACATTGACGCGAAGCATACGTTAGCCAGGATGCTGCTAGCACTTTGGCTAACGCGTCACCCAGCTTGGACAAACCCCTCACGGAGCATCGCGGACTCAGTAAGTCGACCTCGGACACATCGACTGACGCCGAGTGGATTGCAACAAACTGCAGACCTGTTAACATCACTGACAACCTTTACACAGCTTTGGGTCCTCGTTTCAAGGACTTGAAGCCTCCCCAGGAGTGACAGAGAGAGGATACATGTTTACAGAGGTTTCTGTCAACATGAATGTTCCAAATGTTCAATAAACATGTTAAGTTCGTATATTTTCCCTTTTTTCTCGAGTCTGTTTGCTCATGCAAAATGAAATTATTAATTAATTAATTAATGAAGTGATTAATATAGAATAAAAATGATATTTAATCATGATTAATCAAAATGAATCCACAGTAACCCTGTGATGAATCTGATTAAACACTTTAATTGTTTGACAAAACTAATATATATTAAATATTAGTTTAGTTGCATTTCACAGGAGAGAGCCTGTAAAAGACTGAACTATTCAAATTCTCTTTGAATTTAAGCATTTAACATTCTTTGTGTTTGTTCTACATTTATTTCATTACATTGCATAAATGTCTGTTACAAGCTCAAATATAAAGTTATATAAAGGCTGTTGATCAAGTAATCGCGATTAATTACAGAAAATTGTGCGATTAATTAAAAGCGTTTTTTCCCCAGCAAATCATCTGGGTCTCGTCCGCCACAGACAACATGTCAGCCGGTTTATGAATGATAAAACTGAGTAAAAATAATAAACAACAACAAACAAACACTTCCACATTATGTGTGTTGCTAAAGGAGAATCATCGTCCTCACGACCTCTCGACTATTTCACATAGTACTGCGAGCAAAAACAGCATTGTTGTGTTTTTCACTCAGTCAACAAGCTATCCAGTGTCTAATTACGAGAGACGTGACATTCTGTTTCCATAATTAATTCAAAAGTGTTCTGATTAAATGCAATCAATTCAATTGTTAACACGGCAGGGGTTCGTGAACAAAGATCATCTGTGGAAGTATAATGAATGTAATCAGATGACATAACGTCGTATCTGCATATTGTTATATTAACGCGCACACAAAGAAACACGAGCGTTAAATGGTACTAAATAGTGACACTGCATTAGGAACAGTTTGGTAATAAATGCCAGATTCATGAACTCACATTGGAAAAGTTTTGCACCTGATGCGCGTCTCATGAAAGTATTTTACATGAGGTCCAGTAAGAAGTGATGAAACAAAGTAAAACCTTACCTTAGACACCTCTAAGCCATTTCTGTAAGTAATGATAATCGTAGCTTCTACGCCAAACACAAGGTGAAACGAATATCAAGGCGATAGTCCAAGAAAAAAAAGGAGGAAAGGCACTCCCATAAAAAATACATAAAAATAAATAAATAACCAAAAAAAAGAGTCAAAAATCCACGAACGCTTGAATAATAGGTTCATACTGTTGCCAGCGCCTGACGGTTTAAAATGGCAGAACAAAACATACCAATTTGTCACAAAAGGAGACTCTGACAAGCGCAGAATCCTCACCAACACACAGACAGGCGTGACAATGCCCCTTCAGGGTATTGCCTACTTCTGCTCGCTCGCTCTCTCACCTAATCTCTCCTCACCACAGATGGCTTCTTGCGAGTGCAGGGGAGGGCACGGCAGTTCCACAGTAATCCCCAGCCACACAGACGGAAAAGCTTGTTAGAGCACTTGCTGATCACCACAAAAAGTCAAACCAGAGCCAAGGAAAGGTCACCAGAAATTAGGCTACGCTCAAACTCCAAAGGCTTGCCTAATTCCCCTGATAAGCCCCTTTGAAACTCAACCTGTTCTGGCTGTGCCACGGGCTCAGCCTCGCCTACAACTAAAAGCCTCCACTAAATCTAGCTGGAACTCATTTACACAGAGGAACACACACACACTCGCAGCTGCTCTCACTACTGACAGGCAAGGCTTTTCCTGATGACTAGACTAGAACAATCGACTAAAGAATCAATGATTCCCAATGTGTGTGAAAGGAATTGAAGATGCTTAGACACAGTGCTGGGGCTCTAAGTCTGAGCTCCTTTGGACGTGAGAAAGCTTTGAAGCTGGAAAGGGCCTCGGTTTGGACTTCACGCTGCTGCTGTTGTCAATTATCCACTTTGGACAGGACACCAGAGGAAAAAACAAACTACTGGAAGGCAAAGGCAGTGTGGGCATGCTGCTGAGTTATTCAGGATGTCAGATTTTGCAGTTCTCAAACCAAATGCATGAAACAATTTGTGCGGAGCGTTTGAAAAATACAAGCCCTCGGGCAAACAAATGTAAACTGGCGAAGCGCAATGTTTTCACTTTCACAGATACTGTTTACATTATTCTAATGTCCAGCCTCAGACTAATTATTACAAGTACACACTCCTTCTTCTCTTCCACACGCACCACCCGAAGCCCAGAGATAAAGAAAAAAACCCAAAACGTTAGGAAAAACAGAAAAAATCAAACAGGAACGAATTATGTACCATTTATTCCAACAGAAAAAGCACCAAGACTGACACAAAGGAATACAGAAAGCCTTGCAGCCCTGCTGCCCGTAAACTATGAAATATTTCCTTTGATATTGGCCCCAATTTTCTCTTCAGCCAAAGCAGAGTGCAAATACATGCTCAGTGCAAACATGCTAAATCCTGCCTGTAGATGAAAGAGCTGGTGGCAGTCGCTGCCATGCCAGTCCACCTCTTCTTTTGTGTGGTTTCGTAGGAAAAACAAACCATCTTTTTAATGATCCTCTCATTTTCATCCGTCTATGAGTAAATTGTTGCATCTCTGGTCAGTATGTCTCTAAAATAAGTCTTCCAGCAGACGCTTATTTTATCAAGATCTTAATTATATGATACAAGCCCAACACTTTAAGTGCTGAATTCCCTGAGCGAACTATGGCGCCCGCTGCCAATAATCTGGCTGTCGTGATCACGTGACGAGCATGTGACACGGGACAATGACAGCACTTGTTTTACTGTCACTGCAGAGGAGTATGTTTCTCTCCGTCACGTCAGATTTGATGCTCATCACCACCACGGAGACATTAGCTGTGCCACCACCTGACATAACAGTTGTGACAAGAACACTGGCTGTCGCCTGACATAAACAAACACACACAAGCTTAAATTACATTTTTTGCCTCTTCCAAAGTACAGATGTAATGTTTCCATGTTTGCTTGCCAATAAGTTAAAAATACGCCTACGCTTTAGTGCACACCCGGGTATTTTTCTTCTTGACTGGAAATCAGATACCTGTACTTTAGTTTGTCAATGATGAAAACAACATTTTTAAAAGTTGGTGTGAGTGTGAACCAGGTTAGTGCAAGGTGGGGGCGGTTAAAACTGGCACAGGAGTAGATGCAACAGCATGATAAGCAATTAATGCACATAAATAGACTCGTGTGTTACCTCTAATAGGGCATATAGTAACATAGTATTTTGCACAGCACCAAACTGCACTGAGAATACACCTGTGAGTCAACGTGCAGCATCACATTTTAACAGAGCAGCTTCATCATAACAATGTTGGTCAACCCTCAACACATCGTCTGAGCATTCAGTTAGTTTATAACAGTATTACCTATCACAAGCAAAACATGTGTGATGTAAATTTGGAGTAAACTGTAAACATGACAACATATTTGTTGCATAAATAAAAGAGTACCTGGAATGCTTACAGTTTTTTCCAGGAGAGACGTTTCTATAAACAAATTCTTTTTTCTTCTTTTTCCTCCACATTCCAAAGCCGTGACATCACAACAACATCATTGGGAGTAGGGATGGGTACCGGTATCAGTTCTGACATAAACGGCAGTAACCAGACCGAAAAGCAGCACACATTTCGGTGCTTTTTTCTTTCCGAGATGTCACACACTCTGGATTCCAGCCAATCATTTTACGTTTCCGAGGATAGTAGGCGGGTCCAGGTACGTACGTTCTTTTAGAGCAGAGCTACAGATTAAAAATGCCCAAGGCGAAGTGGTCAAAGTCTGGCTGTACTTCACAGCAAAAGATGCAAACTCAGCAGCAACAAGTGCTTTAAGCTGATACTGTGATACTGTCTTTTTTTTTTCTTTTTTTCTCAAAAGGTTCCTGGATACAAAAGTCCTCCCAATATTATCTGTGCAGGTGGATACAACACAAATAAAGGATCGTGTCAGGTATGTTTTCTGTCCTTTCCTTGAAAATTCTTGCTAACAGCTCTGTGGTTGAAAAATATATGAGCACTCTGCATTAAGTATCACATGAAAAAAGTAAATACTTCCTCCTTACAGGGTGATTCTGGTGGCCCTCTGGTCTGCAAGGGAATGGCTGTCGGTATTGTTTCTTTCAACAAGGCGATTGGTGAAAACTTGGGACAGTGTGACTATCAGGATGTCCCCAATGTCTATACAGATATCTCAAAATACCTTAACTGGTTCAGGAGGATTCTCCCGGGGGGAAAAAGTTAAATCTTACACAAAGCTTTGCATCAGCACACTGTAAGTGTGCAAGCTATGCCTCTGTCAGCGTTTGCTCTCAATGCAGAATAAAGAAAATGTTTCAAATATTGTTTCTGTGCACGAACAATATCTTATTATGACTTTAAAACCCATCTATCCATCTATATATTGAAATTCAGGTTTACCATGAAAAATTAATTCCATGCAATACTAATATCTGTAAACTAATTTTTAATTTCTACAGTACATTCATCCTGATTTTTTGAGTACTATAATAAAGACTAACAGAGGGTGTTTCATTTACCACAGAGAATTACCTGATGTGGTTTTCAGTTAAATCTCTAATAAGTCAAAAAACTGAAGCCATGACAATTTAATACTAGAAACGGCTCTAACTACAGTAACACTACTTTTCTAATTTAATAGTAAGATCATGAACATTGAACATCCTGACGTCTTCTCTTGGTTAGCGTGTTGGATGCCCGCCCTTGCTTCCTTTTTCCTCCCACATTCTTCTGTTGTCTGTCTTTGGTAAGCTGATACTGTGATACTGTCAAAGGAGGTAACACCTGCGAATCCGATGAAACACCTGGCGACGCATAGCGTTTTTTTAAAGCCGAGAAATGCGCCGTATTTGATAGCTTGCTGCGAGACCTCACACCGAGCACATCTACTGCGGGTGTGGTGCCTGTTATCGGACCCGGAGTTAGCAACATCCCCAAAAACCCGAAGAGGAGAGTCCTGGCCCCTAGCCCTGCCAGTGTAGCAGAAATGATGAGGATGATGATGCAGCAGCAGCCGTTCTTCTCTGCGTGAGTAGCTTAATGTTGTTCGTGTGTAATTTACGTTGAGTAGGCTAACCACGTTATTACATTAATGCATGTAAGGTGAACTAGCAAACATCATCATAGCTACATGCGGCTGTCTTCTTGTTTGATGGCAGATACTCCCTTCACCCTGGCCAAAAAGGCTAAAATGACCAAAGAAAAAGGGGAAAACAGTCTAAACATGAGAGGTTTTTGGACAAAGTTTGTGTTTTTTCCATTGTTTAAGCACTGCTTCCAGCCAAGAGTGATACCATATATGCCCTATAGCTGCAGAAAAGGCTAACATTGTTATCTTTTTACAAAAAACAGCTGAACATGAGAGGTTTTTGGACCAATTTTGTGTTCTCCATTCTTTAAGCACCGTTTGAGCACCGGCACCGTTTCAAAAGTACCGATTTGGCACCGGTATCGGATAAAACCTAAACGATACCCATCCCTAATCGGGATGTTACAATATTATCCCGGACCAACGCTATGATGGAACAACACCAACACGGGGATATCAGGTACAACATCTGAGCACTGTCACCACAAAGTGGACAGCTACGCTGAGTCTGCAGTGTAGCAGCTACTGAGCTCAAAGAGCCGCGACAACCTGAAGAACGTGTCTAACCCTCACTGTACCGCCAACGGATCGATAGATGTTTTTCATTTTTTCATAATTACTCGGCTACCAGGATGTTGTGACATCACCATTTTAAATCTTTTGGCGCTTCCACTAATGTAATCGGATACAACCTTTATTTCAGCTACAGATCCAAATGTGCGATGTAATAATGTGCACGGTAGTACAAGAAATGATCGAACTGAACTCGACATTCATCTAACATCAAAAGAAGACTTTTGTCATACTGTACATAATCATACTGTACATAATCATACTGTACATAATCAGTGTTAATCAGTGAAGCAAAAGAACTTCAACAGAGGGCACAACAACGGAGGTGATAGACTTGGTCTTATTAACACAACATAATGTAACAGCGTTTGCTTTTGCAGCCACAGTAAAAAAGTGTGGCCTCAGCTTGGGAGGTGTCATGTGATTGTTCTTAACCCGAGGTGCTGCTAAAAGTCTAGCCCTTCTCTTATAATTGCAAATGGCAAGCTGTTAAAGCATTTACAGAGCTTCAAGTGCCACCACAATGCAAATGAAGTGATAGGAACTCCAGTGCTGAGCAAGCCTCAGTCGCTCAACAGCGCAAAAGCCGTTTGGCACAGGCTGGTGAGACAAAGGGAAAAGACAGATGATTGCATTTCAGAGGCGGAGAGGATGAGAAGTACATGCTTAAAAAAAGGCAAAATAATCCTGAATATAGAACGCCTGCATTTAGCTGGGACGTGCACTTACAAGTTGTTGAAGTGGCCAATCGGACATTATCAAAAAGAAAAGTGGTGCGAAGGAGTGCAAGCATCATCAGGATACAATTTGCATTTATAGCTCCCGAAATTCACATGGAAGGCAAAGTGAGCTAATCAAAAGGTAATCAAATACAGTGAAATCTCTCTTGGATTTCGATCAGCAGAGGCCACTGGCCCCGTTTCACATTACAGTTAGCCAACATGGCAAACAAAGAGTTCAGGTGACCGTGCCAACCTGAACAGAGAGCGCGTCCTCACAACCTGCTCCATCGCACGGTCAACAGGTTCAGCCGGATTCGCTTTCCCGGCCAAGAACAGGTGAAGCGCACAGCGATTGGCTGACAGGGGGTTGGCCCGTGGACGAGACGTGAAGGCCATTATGGTAATAGGGGACTAGCCTGCCAGGAGCGTGTCAATAGCAAAGAACAGAGGATTCCTACATGAGGCTGGGGGAGGTTATCCAACCGAACACGAGCACATCACCTGGGAAATAGCTTATTAAAATATGCTGCTTTGTGCTAAATAGTGTGGCGTGAATGCTCTGTTTCTAGAGGTGTTAACAGAGCCCGATTTAATATGTATGAATGTCCAACAAAGTGTGTGTGCTTGTGTACAGTATGCATCTCTGCGTGCAGGAGATAAAGGCAGCACTCACTCATGGCAGGAGGCCTAGGCCGGGCCTTTCTCGAATGCTCCTCATTAACAGCTCATAATAGCTGGCAACTTCCTCGTGCCACCCTGGCTCATTCTCATTAGCAGCTGGCAGCAAGGTGGGGAGATGAGTGGACGCTGGCATCAGCCCACCGTCACTTCAGCACAGCGCGGGAGCAAGCGGGAGAGTGGAATAGCAAGGGAAAGAGCTCGAGATAGGTAGCATGAGAGGGAAAAATCCTCATCTCTGTAGATTTAATTAAAACTGGGGTGAACAGATGGGGAAGATGGAGTGAAGTCCAACAGGAGACAGCTCATCTGTTTGGGTTTTCACATTTCTCTTTCCATCTCTCCCCATCCGCCTCCCTCTCTCATCTCTGCTAGTTTTTTCTTTTTTAGATAAATTCTTGGCATTCAGAGCGTCCCAATTCAAAGCTTGCACACTGGCAGTGTGACAGGCGACAAAAACAAGGGAAAAAATAAATAACCGAGCTCACATGGGCTCTTGAAGGAACGCGGGCCTTCAGTTTGCTGCGGATAATTATGGGCTGGGCTCGAGCCGGCCGGCCCAGCGCTGGGGCAGGGATGTTTTGCTGGAGAGCGGCTAAGCCCTTATTAAAAGGTAATCCTGGCAATCCCTGTGTAAAATAAAAGAGCTATTTGTTTAAAATAGAGAACCGCTGAGCACAGACAGAGGCAGACAGAGGGGAAGGTCACTCAGTGTAGGGTTTTAGATCAGAAAAAAGATCAAGCCTGCCCGTGGCTCTTTTTTTCTCCTCTCTCCCAGAAGAAGTCACTTTTCATTCAAATGTAATCATCACCGCGCAGTAATACGACCTTCATGGCTGCATGTTAAAAGGAGAAAAAGCAAAGCATTCAGCTCCTTCAGTCCCTGTGGCCATTTCAGAGTATACAAAGGGATCATAGACGCAAGCAGAAACCACTAAACGCATTCAAAGCATCACAGAATAATAGCCCTTTGACTATGCGCAGGAATGTAAATTTGCGTGCAGCGCATGTGTGTTAAACGCTGCTACAGTTTCTGTGTTTGACACACTGCATCTTTTGATTGACATTTGCTGCCAAAGCATTATCATAATCTCCTAGCAACCACAGTAGGAATCAGAAAAACATAAATCATAGAAGGGGAAGGAAAAACTCCCCACATCCACCTTGTGCAACAATGCCACTAGTCTTGCATTTTCTTCTGAAAATTTTCTGCCTTAGCTCAGTTCCCTGCTACATTAATCTCATTATCCTTTGAACCTTTTCACTGTTAATGCCAAATGCAATTTGTATTCTAAGGCCAAGCAAAAAGCTCTAAACTGATTATCCCAATTTGAACCGTGGCAGTCCTAGATATTGTTGAGTCTGAAAGGGCCATCTAGCTGCTGAATGGGCTTCTCATATGCCTTCTGAGTTTCATGACACAATGTTGCGTCTGCTTTGCAAGGGATAAATTAAGCGTGTGAAAGTCTAAGCAAAGCCCTCATTTTCCAGTTAATCAAATCTTCCCCTAATCAAATTAGCGCACATAATTCCTCTGGATGCGTGGTACAAAAACAGCATTATCCCCCCTCTCTGGAGCTGAAAGGCAGGGAATCAGCGTGGTGCCTCTCTCTCCTCTGCATGAGCAGCCCTCAATGGAAGAGGAGGGCCAGGGTGAGGTGGGGGGTGGAAGTGACCAGGGCGAAGGGGGAGGGCACGGCTCTTCCCAATGGCCTAACGGAGAAAGGCAAGGCCGGGGTAAACTTTGGCAGCGTTTAAGTTCCCAGCTCATTAAAAAGCCTGGCTCAGTGGCCACCTCCAGGGAGCACTGAAGCGTCGGCTAATGAGGTACTTGTTTAATTTTCTTTCAAAGGGCTGGACATCTGTGACAACCCACCCCCGTCAAACCCCACACTCCCTCCCGTTTCTCCCCTCAGCCTTAAAGCCCCATGCCTCATCGTTCTTCTTCAAACCCCACACAAAGCCCATCTATCAATAGGCCGCGGGGTTCTCTCTGGTTTGATGAAGTGTCCCTCATTGAATGAGGCAGATAATACATTTGGAGGAGAGCAGAACAATCGCCATTAACTCTGATCTCTCCCTCTGAACAGTCAAAGCCCATCATGGAAATTCAATAGTGGTCAAGCTAAATGGATAAATGTTCACAGTCCACCGTAACGTTCTAATTGATTTCCCTTCATGAGATAATCCACCCTCTTCAATAGTGGTGCTCGCTCCACCCTTTCACCCCTGCCACCCCTCTGTGGAGATGCTGAACAT